AACATTAGGATCAACTTCATATAAATAGATTTAAGCAGTAAAAGACAGGCTTCAGAGTCAGAGAGATGTGGACTCAATCTTGACTTTGTCATTTTCTAGTTGAGTAGCCCTGGGCAATTTCTTAACAGTTTCCATATCTCTAATTTGAAAATAAAATGTATGACTGTTTTAAGGATTAAATGAGAATAATGTATATTAGGCAGATAACATCTGGTATAAACATTTGCTTCTGCATCATGACTGATGGGCATACCCCAACCCCCTCCTTGATGACCTGAAATAGTGACATTCCCTTCCAGTAAAGGCTGAAAATCAGACCTGGGCCTTTCCCAACACTGTCTCAAAGGGATTAATTTGGGAAACTGCACATCATATTCTCCTTGTGACAATTCTTAATGCACGTTAGGATATTAAAAGCTCAGAAAATTCTTACAGTAAAAAAGTCTATTTGATTTTGTTTAACTTGGTGTTTTCTAAATTTATCTGACCCTTGGTTTTTCACAGTAACTACTCCACTCGGCATCTTGAAAAATGCTACTCCAGCAAACAAGCTTATGAAAATTGCTAAGTGGGGGGAAGGGAATGTGGGAAAAGATATCAAAACACTCCACAATACCTCATACTTTTTCAGGTTACAAAATATTTCCAAAAACCCTTAAGAATATGTTTTCTGCCACAGATGTGTTTTGAAGATCCATAAAATGACAATTCTCAGCCTCACTGGTCTCAGAAACACTTCATACTCTTAATTATTGAGGATAGTGAAATGGGCATTACAAAGATGCACAGGAAACTTGTGGGTGATATGTTCATTTTCCTCATTGAGGAGATAGATGGTATGATGGTTAAAGTTTATGTGTTACCTTGGCTAGGCTATGGTACCCAGTTTTTTGGTGAAACACTAGTCTAGATGTTACTGTGAAGGTATTTTGCAGATACGATTAACATCTACAATTGGCTGACTTTAAGAACATTACCCTTGATAACATAGGTGGGGTGGAGAGGGGCTCCATCAAATCAGTTGAAGACTTTAAGAGCAAAAACTGAGATTTCCTTGAGAAAAAGGAATTCTGCCTTAAGACAGTAACAGGAAACAAGAGTTTCCTAAGAAATTTTGCCAACCAGCCCTACAAATTTCAAAGTCTAGACTGCAATATCAACTCTTGCCTGAGTTTCTACCATGCTACCCTGCCCTACACATTTCGACTTGCTGGTAAACATATGTCAAATTTATTGAACTGTATACTTTACCTATGTGTGGTTTATTGTATATCAATTATATCTCAAAAATTACTGAGAATCTCAACGAGCTTTTGTTTATGTGGTTCTCCTCTGTTATCTACTGAATTAGAAAAGGGCACAGGGGTGCCTGTGTGGCTCAGATGATGGGATATCTGCCTTCAGCTCAGGTCATGATCTCCAGGTCCTGGGATGGAGCCCCGCCTCAGGCTCCCTGCTTAGCGGGGAGTCTGCTTCTCCCTTTCCCTCTGCCTCTCCCCCTGCTTGTGCTCTTTCTCCCTCTCAAATGAATAAATAAAATCTAAAAAAAAAAAAAAAGCACAGAGAAATTTTAAAAATATTTAATACATGTAATATACTAATATATATTTCTATATATTGATGCATACACTTTTCATTTTGAAAATAAAAGCTATGTTTTCTACAACAAAATGGTGAGAAGAGTGGTACTTTTGAGTATTTTTGGAAATCTCTAATATCTGACTGAAAGGAAGACAACCGGTTTTGCACACCTGCTTTAGCATTCAGTATGTTGCAATATGTTGTTTTGGCTGAAGTATATAAAGAAAACATGGCCTCAATTAGATACATAGCTGGAAAATGGAGGAGTATTTTAATAGCCCTTCGAGTCCATTCTTCTTTGATAACACACCAAAACTTGAGACGTTGTGGTTTCTTAAAGATCAGTGGCAATATGGAATCTGCAACTTCATCAACAAACTTTCAAATACTGTTTCATTTAAATCTATTGATCAGTCTTGAATCCCGAATGGACCTTTTACCTATATATTGTCATATCACACATTGGTCGTCAGAAAATACTGATATACAGACTCATGCAGATGTTTCAAATATTGACATATTTCATTATACAATATTTTTAAAATCATATTAATATCAGCAATAATCTAATCAGAAAAGTCTTTAAATATTGGAAAATGTCAAGCTCATGGTAAAACACAACTTTTCCAGAATTCTAATTTTTGCTTCAAAGTTCAAATTTTATCATCACCCACAAATGCTGTCAGTTGTTTTCCTTGAAGTGACAGGCTTGCTTCATTCATTTTCAAAGAAATGTCTGCCAAGCACCCAAGTCTCAGTAACTGTAATTTTTCTGTCAATTATTCTTTCAAAAATAAAAATACTATTCCAGATTGGTGGTTGCCAGAAGTTGGGGGGGAGGGGGTAGCAGGTGGGCAAAATGTGTGAAAATGGTCAAAAGGTACAAACTTCCAGTTATAAAATAACTAAGTCATTGGGATATAATGTACAATGTGGTGACTATAGTTAACAATACTGTATCGTACTTATGAAAGTTGCTAAAACAGAAGATCTTAGAAGTTCTCATCACAAGAAAAAAATTTAACTGTGTTATAATGGATATTAACTAGACTACTGTGGTGGTGATTTCACAGTATAAAACATCAAATCATGTTGTACAGCTGAAATTCATAACATTCGTCACATTTCAAAATTTTTCAATGAGAGCAAAAAATTTTTAAATTTTTAAATGTTTTCCGTATTAAAAAAGTGGCTAGTTTGTCTCACAAATACTTTTTTAAAAGATTTTATTTATTTATTTGAGAGAGAGAGAGAGATCACAAGCAGGGGAGAGGGGTTGGGGGAGAAGCAGACTCCCTGCTGAGCAAGGAGCCCGATGTGGGACTCGATCCCGGGACCCTAGGATCATGACCTGAGCCGAAGGCACGTTTTACCAACTGAGCCACCCAGGTGCTGTGTCTTACAAGTATTTTCTCAAACCAACCATCATAATTCAGTATGTGGCAGAAGTGCTGGAAATAATTTTTTGCTGCACTTTCTTAAGTAAGACTGACTTTTTTTTTTCTCTTTCTCCATGATGGAGAAGAATGCAGTGACCACTAGCATGGTTTGATGCCATTTCCTTGTCTTAATCCCACAGACCCCCCTACAGGGATCCCCACAAAGCAAACTGAGAGCAGCTTCTCTAAATACAAGTGGAGGTTGAAAATAGGAATATTAGCAGCTCCACAGTTTGTGTAAGATGGAACAACCTTGAAAAGAAATGGGGTGCTGAGGAATTTATCTCAAAGCTGCATTTGCAAGGCAAGTTCATTTTTACTTATGCTTATTAGAAGGGATATATTTGTAGGTAACTGAACATCAATTAGTGAAATTTACATATTATTCTGGTTATCATGGACAGTTCACATACTATGGGCTCACTATTAAGTGGCATCATAACCAAATGTCTAAACTACTTTTTTTAATTTTATTATGTTATGTTCGTCACCATACAATACATCATTAGTTTTTGATGTGGTGATGCACGATCCATTGTTTCCGTATATCACCTGGTGCTCCATGCAGTACGTGCCCTCCTTAACACCCATCACCGGGCTAACCAATCCCCCCTCCCCCCTTCCCTCTAAAACCCTGTTTGTTTCTGAGTCCATAGTCTCTCATGGTTCATCTCTCCCTCCGATTCCCCCCCACTCTTCCCTTCCTTCTCCTAGTGTCCTTCATGCTATTCCTTATGTTCCACAAATAAGTGAAACCATATGAGAACTGACTTTCTCTGCTTGACTTATTTCACTTAGCATAATCTCCTCCAGTCCCATCCATGTTGATGTAAAAGTTGGGTATTCATCCTTTCTGATGGCTGAGTAATATTCCATTGTATATATGGACCACATTTTCTTTATCCATTCATCTGTTGAAGGGCATCTCGGCTCTTTCCTCAGTTTGGCTATTGCAGACATTGCTGCTATGAATAATGGGGTGCATATGGCCCTTCTTTTCACTACATCTGTGTCTTTGGGGTAAACACCCAGTAGTGCAATTGCTGGGTCATAGGGTAGCTCTATTTTTAAATTTTTGAGGCATCTCCACACTGTTTTCTCTAAACTACTTTTCTAAAAACTAGATGCAATATTTAACATTTTCTTCAATGTACAACTAAGCAGAAATAGTTCGTAAGTTTTATTTTTTTAATTTCATTTATTTGACATAGAGAGAGAGAGAGAGGGAACACAAGCAGGTAGAGTAGGAGAGGGAGAAGCAGGCCTCCTGCTGAGCAGGGAGCCCAATGCGGGGCTCTATCCCAGGACCCTGGGATCATGACCTGAGCTGAAGGCAGACGCTTAACCATCTGAGCCACCCAGGCGCCCCAGTTCGTAAGTTTTAAAATGGCCCACTTTCAGGGGCATCTGGCTGGCTTAGTCAGTGTGGATCATGTGACTCTTGATCTCAGGGTTGTAAACTCAAGCCCCATGGTAGGCATGGAGCCTAGTTTAAAAAAAAAAAAAAAAGCCCACTTTCAGTTTAAACTGCTAAATAATGAAGTGCAGCCATTTGGCTTATAATGCCAGAAAACTGTAATTCAAGTGAAACTTACCACATAACAATACTAGGACAAATGTTTATAATCACTGTATGTACCTTCTGAGTTTAGCATTTAGGTCCTTGAAAGATACACTGGGAGAGAATACAGATATTCAAAATACAATACCTATTAACAACTCTTCAACAAAAAAATATTGTCCTCTGATGGAATCAAGAAGACTGTCAACCACAAGCCAAAAAAAAAAGGTTGACTTAGTAAATGTTTCAAATAAAGCCAAGTGAGTATTAACATTCATGGGAATAAAAATTTTTTTTAGCAATACTTAAACTCTAATTATGGAATCATATATCCTAGTAACCCATGTTATAAAATTACATTTCAAACCATACAATTTAAACTGTATGACACCAAAATGAGAACAAACGAGTCAACTTACTCGATCTGCTAATCCTCCAGGAACGATCGTCCTCACAACCACACCACTTGATTTTCCTCCAACTATTCCAAAACCTAATCCAGAGCCATCGTTAATGAGCTCAACATCTTCAATATGGCCCCAATGAACCTACAAATTAATGGCAAAAAAAGCCAACATTAGTGAAACACAAATGCTTAGCCTTCCAATACAATAATTACTAAAGTAAAAGATATACCAACAAGTAATCAGGGCAACTTTCTAGAGGCTAGGAGATATGTAAAGATGATCAGATGGTCCCCACCCTTGAAAATCTAGATAATCTAAAACACAAATAATTAAAATGAGACAGAATACTGAATCATAAGATACATAGCTTGAAGAGGATAGAGACATGTTGCCTCATTCTCCAGTCTGTACACAGTATCTAGCACAATGTCCAGCACACAGGAGGAACCAATAAATATGTGTTTACCTGAATTGGAAGAGAATCACAGACTATTATAAAGATGCGGGGCCGGGGGGAGGGGGGTCGGGGGTAGAAGCAGAGATAAGAGGTCGAAGCCGATTAAGAATTACGGAAAGCTTCGAGGAAAAGGTCGCATTTTAGTTGCAGTATGGGGAGAAAAAAAAAAACACACATTCGAGCAAAAGGGAAATGTAAGAGCAAAGCAGGGCCATGTAACAGAATGGGTCAAAGATATGGTCAAAAGATTGGATTTACTTAACTGGATAAGCAAAAGGAATAACTGAAGGTTTTAAAAAGGAAGGACAGGGATGCCTGGGTGGCTCAGTCGGTTAAGCATCTGCCTTTGGCTCAGGTCATGACTCCAGGGTTCTGGGATCGAGTCCCGCATCGGGCTCCTTGCTCAGCGGGGAGCCTGCTTCTCCCTCTGCCTGCCACTCCCCCGAGCTTGTGCTTGCTCTCTGACAAATAAATGAAATATTAAAATAAAAAAAAAAGGAAGAACAGGAACAAAGCAGTGGTTTAGGAAGATTACTCTGACAGCAATATGAAGGATGAAATGCTGAGGACACAAGGCAAAGAGACTAAGCAGGCTCTTATGCGGGAGAGGAAAGGTAGGCCCCACTGAAGACATAGCAATAGGACTATATGAATCAAAATGAGAGACGTTAAGCATTTTCCCTCTAACTAGTAGGCTTCTGTCAGAAATGTGCATTAGGGGTGCCTGGGTGGCTCAGTTGGTTAAGCATCCAACTCTAGATTTCAGCTCAGGTCATGATCTCAGGGTGGTAAAATCAAGCCTCTGGCTCTGCATTCAGCGGGGACTCTGCTTAAGATTCTCTCCCTCCCTCTGCCCCTTCTCCCCATATGCGCTCTCCCCCAAATAAATTAATCTTAAAAAAAATGTGCATTAAATTCACATAATCTAACCACAGAACAAAATCTGCCATCTCAAGCTCAATAGGGTATACTTACTGGTTTTACTATTATACTAAGTTGGACAGTTATACTATGCAAGGTTAAAATGACCAGGAATATTAGGATAAGTAATAAATTCAGGTCTAAAACAATATCTAGTATCTGGGAAGCAACAAATTTGTTAAAATATGCCTTAATTAATGATCACAACTAATATTCAGAAGTGTATATTTTGCACCAGGCACTGTGCTTAGCTCTTCACATGCACTCTCATTTAATCCACATATTATCTCTGTGAAGTGGATGCTGTTATTAGTTCCAAGGAAAAGAAGAAACTGAGGGGTGGAGGAGTCAAGGAACCTTCCTGATATGACACAGCTAGGAAGTGGGAGAACTGGACTTGAACCCACCTTAGCCTGGCTCCAGAGCCCTTGTTCTTAATCACTATGCAAAGCATTTTCCCACTTTGTTCATTGTATTTATTATGTAAATTGTGCTGTATAAATATCACTGATTACAAAAGGGAAAATGTCTATACATTAATTTGTGTTGTGACCTTGTACTGTACCCAGACGGTCTATTGTTTCTTTTGTCCCAATGAATGAAAATTAATCAGCTAGCACTTAGTGTTATAAGAAGGTAATATTTATTAGCTTGCATTCTGAAGATGGAGGCCAAAATCTGTAAAACGTTATAAACCAAGTTGAACGATTCCCAAAAGAGACATATGCTTTTATTCTTTTAAACTACTCAGTATACATGATTACATGAAAAGGAAACCTTTATAATTTTGCAGTGTCAATAATCTAGTCATAAATACCCAATATAATCTACAAAAATGTTTTTGATACAAATAACTAAATCTTACTTAAGATACTCAACAGTAAATCTCTAATAAAAACTCTCAGCTTAATTAAGAACTGCCTATATCACTGAGGAACAAGACTCTTTCCAAATAAGTTATGCGTTAATACAACAATTCACCTTTTACATTAAATAATAATCTTAAATAAGGAGAACCATAGGACATTGAAAAAACAATCCTCTGTGAAATATCTTGTTTAATATGCTAATGCTGTAGAGATGTGATCTTTCCTAAAGTATGACAAGTACTTTAAGTATGACATCTTCTAAAATGTCTTTACACTTCTTAGAATCAGTAGCATAATTCAAAATTATTTTTCCAAATTTGTAACTCACTGTTTCAGGCAGAGTGGTATCAGTTAGGCTGGTAGAAGTACTGCTTTTTCTGTGGACGGGTTCCCTGGCCACAACCAGATGCAAAGATCCAGTGGTTTGTTGTAGTAACGCAATTGCTTGCTGATGGGAAATGTTCTGATCCAGTGGTGTGTGATTAATAGCCAATATTTGGTCATTTTCCCTTAATCTTTGATCCCTTGATAGAAGAAAATTCTGTTATCAGTGATACAATAGCATCATTAAAAAAAAATCTTTTATTCAAGTGGAGCAGTTTATTTCTTATGGCACTACTTCACTTAGTACATTTATTCAGATAATTATATGACAGCTCTTCAGGGTGCTTTTCATCAGAGCACTTATTAGCTAATTAAGCGATTAAGTGGTGCATCCCTAAACGTGTACATGCACACACACACGCACGCACGCACGCACACACACACACACGCGCACACACAAAACCATTTGGCTAGAAAAATAAGCAAAAACAATGCGCGGGGGGGCCCCACTGCCAAGGTTTTGCAAATAAGAACACTGCCACCATTCTGCACGAATCTTATACTCCTGAACCCCTTCCAACCTGACTTCAGCATATACCACACTGTGGTAACTGTATCCTCAAATTCACCGATAACCTCCTCTCTAGCAGAGTCACCCTGTCTAGATCGTCCTTTACATCTCTGACATCTGTCAATTGTTAGGCCAAACTCTCCTTGAAAATCAACAGATGCTATTTCTAAATCTGTATTTAAGCCCTTCTCTCTGTCCTAATCCCCAACTGCCAACCAAGGTAAAAAAGAACTATTTTAAAAAGACATTAGCAAAACCTTAAGGGAAAACACACTATTATAGTTAATATTTACTGAGCACTTGTTAGAAGCCACATACTGTGCTAATGCTTTACAGGTATTATCTCATTTAATCCTCACAACCACCTCTTAGTGACAGGGGAACCTGGGTGGCACAGTCAGTTAAAAACATCCGACTCTTGGGCGCCTGGGTGGCTCAGTTGGTTAAGCAACTGCCTTCGGCTCAGGTCATGATCCTGGAGTCCCGGGATCGAGTCCCACATCGGGCTCCCTGCTCACCGGGGAGTCTGCTTCTCCCTCTGACCCTCCTCCCTCTCATGCTCTCTCTCTCATTCTCTCTCTCTCAAATAAATAAATAGTAAAAAAATCTTTAAAAAAAAAAAAAAAAACAAAAAAAAAACCCATCCGATTCTTGATTTCAGCTCAGGTCATGATCTCAGGGTCCTGAGATTGAGCCCAGCACTGAGCCCCATGTCAGGCTCCGCACTCAGCACGGAGTCTGCTTGTCCTTCTCCCCCCCGCCCCCGCCACTTGTACTCTCTCTCTAAAAAAAAAAAAAAAAAAAGGTAGTTACATTTTACATGTAAGAAATTAAAGCCTGGACAAGCTTAGCATCTTAGATGACTCTGAAACATATTTCACTTTAGTAGGATTTACTCTGGTTTACGTATTTGACTTCATTATCTCCCAGACACCACTCTCTCTTCCCATTTCTCCAACATCACCCCTTCAGTTCCTTCTTAACCCTCTTTATCTGTTACCTCCACCCATCTTCTTCCATTCCCCATATCAACCATCCAATGGAGATCCTTCTCTAATGCCTAAAACTGAACTTTCAAAATCTCTCAAGGTTTATTTTGCTAGGCTCTCTTTATGCTGGTATCGCCCAACTTGAAAACGTGTTAACAATTATCTGTAATTACTGACCAGTAAGGAGAGAGCCAAAGGAAAGAGAACAAACTCTTATCATCATAGTTCCATAAATGAACATTAACCTTCAAAATACAGAATCTCCCAGAGGAGGGATTTATCTAATTCAAAAACTGAGAATTATGAAAATTCCATTATATTGCCCTTATCTTTCTTAGGTCACAGCAGATTCAGCAAAACTTTGTCATGGATCAGAATGGTAGTTTGTTTTTTTTTTTTCTTAAGATTTATTTATTTTAGAGACAGCGAGAGTGGAGGGGGGAGACAGAGGGAGAAGGAGATCTCCAGCAGACTCCCCGCTGAGCACGGAGCCTGATGAAAGGCTCAACCCCACGACCCTGAGCTCGTGACCTGAGCCGAAATCAAGAGTGGATACTTCACCGACTGAGCCACCCAGGCGCCCCTTGTAACTTTTTTTTTTTTTTAAGATTTTATTTTTAAGTAATCTACACCCAACATGGGGCTTAAACTTACTGGCCCAAGATCAAAAGTTTCATGCTCTACCAAGGGAGCCAGCCAGATGCCCTCAGAACAGAATCTGGTAACTTCTGAGCTCAGGGACACAGGGTAAACTTGGTTGGTACTCAAAGGCCTGTGCATGGGATGAATGGATGGCTCAGTCAGTTAAGTGTCTGCCTTCAGCTCAGCTCATGATCCCAGGGTCCTGGGATCAAGTCCCACATTGGGCTCCTTGCTCAGCAGGGAGCCCGCTTCTCCCGCTGCCTGCCGCTCTCTTGCTGTCACTCTCGCCCTCTCTCTGACAAAATCTTAAAAAAAAAAACACTACCTCTTAAACAAAAACAAAGGCCTGTGCATGTGGTCCCCAAGTACTCCTTCCAACTTTGCTTCCTCCCCACATAAACCCCCTTTCCGACTATTCTGACCTACTCTTTCCCATTCAAACATGTCTGGCATTTCCCGCTCTTGTGTAGATGGTTTCCTCCATCTCTGATGCCCTTTGACTCTACTCAACCAAATCAATCCACCCTCTGTGATTAGCTGAGTGTCTTTCTTTCCCACCCTCCCCATCACTTACCTCATTATCACAGTGCTCTGAACCACTCATTTACCACTCACTGAATATTCATTTACACTAAACATGCTATCGACAGAGCTAGCTAAATCCTACTAACTTGTACGTTTTATGAGGATAGACACTCATGTTTTAGATTCTCTTTTGAAACTAGCAAGTTACATATGAAAATATCTATTTTTGAGGTCAAAATCGTGGGTGGCTCTCATAATAAATCAGTTATTAAAAATGCTGCTTAGGGGCGCCTGGGTAGATCAGTCAGTTAAGCATCTGCCTTCAACTCAGGTCATGATCCCAGGATCCTGGTATTAAGTCCCACATCGGGCTCCTTGCTCAGCAGAGAGCCTGCTTCTCCCGCTGCTACTCGTGTGCGCCCACGCATGCACTTGCTGTGACAAATAAAATATTTTAAAAATAAAAGTGTTGCTTATACATCCTGGGGCACCTGGGTGGCTCAGTCAGTTGAGTGTCTGCCTCTTGATTTCAGCTCAGCCTGGTGGGATTGAGCCCTGCATTGGGCTTGCAATGGGCATGGAGCCTGCTTGGGATTTTCTCGATCTCTCTCCCTCTGCCCCTCCCCCCACCCCTCATTTGCTCTCGTGCTCTCTCTTTAGAAAAAATAAAAAATAAAATAGGGGCGCCTGGGTGGCTCAGTTAGTTAGGCGACTGCCTTCGGCTCAGGTCATGATCCTGGAGTCCCGGGATCGAGTCCCGCATCGGGCTCCCTGCTCAGAAGGGAGTCTGCTTCTCCCTCTGACCCTCCCCCCACTCGTGCTATCTCTCATTCTCTGTCTCTCAAATAAATAAAATCTTTAAAAAGATAAAATAAAAATGTTGCTTATACATCCTTTTATTAATATTAGGAAAGGCTTGTATTATGTTGAGATAAAGATATAAAATTGTAGATGCTCTATGACCTTGTCTTTATAAAAAGAAAACATTCAAATGTATTTCCTAGTTGTCTTAGGGTAGTCAAAGTCCTAGAGTTTGCTTATCATATTTCTATATTTTATGATTTTCTATTATATGTATGTATTACTTTCATAATTTTGAAATATATATTTTATAAATTAAAAATGTTGCTTGTGAACCTTTCCCAAGTCCTACATTTGTTTTTAAATGTGACCACTATGGACAATACCAGAAATTACTTCCAGTTTCCCATCTCTAATGTCCTTCTGTCTGACTTCTTTACCTAAATTCCTATTCACAGCTTGTTCATTAAGGAAAATTTCTTAATTAATCCCAAATGAATGAGACACTCTTGAATCTTTTCAACCCTGATATAACTCATTTGGATAAGTTCTTAATTTACTCACATTCAAATCTTCTATTTTCTGGAAATCAATCTATTTTAATCTACCCCCTTCCCCCCAGAAGACTGCCCGGACACTATACTTCTTCCTAGTTAGTATCTGCCCAGGGAATATAACCTCAACTCCAGATAAACAAATTGTACAGAAAAGAAATCTCCAGAACATGTGATTTTGATGCATTCTAAAGTTGAACAGAATTAGTTTTACTGCTACTATTATTCATAATTTAACTCCCACATACTGTTTGTATATACTGAAATCGTATTTTTCATTTAAGGTGAGATGAGTTCTGTCTCTCCATTGCAACATTCAAAAATAATGGATTCCCATTACTTTGAGAGACAATGGGTCTTAGGTAAGCTTCTAAAATAACACAATTCTATGTGGAAAGTCCTCAGGAGAAAGGAAGAACTGATCATGAAAACCATTTAACATGATCTAGAAGGTCATACATGACTGACCCCACCTCTTTCCAGTCCTTTCTCGTACTCTCTTGCACTAAGCTCCCACACCAGGTAAATACCAGCCTCATTCCAAGGATAGGAGCTGTGTTCCTTCTCTCCATATGACTACTGCTCAAGACAGTCTCTTTACTCCTCTGACACCTTCTGCTCTTTGCAGGCCCCACTGTCTCCTTTAAGCACTCCCACTGTTTCCCTTCAAGCACTGCTGTCTCTGGGAAGCCACTTGACTGCTTAGCCTTCGTCAAGGCTCTTTACACACTAACATGTCAAACTTCTCTTTTTGAAAATGCTCACCTCAATCTGTAACTACAGAGTACCTCAGACATAAGAATTGACCACAAAAAGGTTGCACAACTTTGAAGATACACTAAAAACTACTAAATTGTACACTTTAAAATGATGACATTTATGGTATGTGAACTGTATACTAATAATAATTTTTTAAGTTAAAAATCTAGAAAGAAAAGTTGGGCCAATAAAACTTAAATAGACTTTTTGTCAAGGGACAGCACAGCCTAAAGTAAACTAATGGTAAGTGACCCTAAGTCTGGGCTCACCTGGGATTGTCTAGGTTTGCCAGAATAGTCCTACTCTATACCTGCCGTTTCGGGTCATTAACAGAACCCCCTCTCAGTCCCAAAACTCTCCCAACATGGACAATAAACTATATGGTTACCCTAACTATGTATACCCAATCTCCAAGAACAGCATAGAATTTCACAAATATATCTGACACTGGTAAGTTTCCTCAGAACATACCTTGAGGAAATGCTGCATGAAATGGCAGAATAAAAGCTGCAAAGTCATGGAAATCCATTATTTCTGAATATTCAGGTGGGGAGTCTAGAACTGATCCCCCATGAATGGAGAATGTGAATTCAAAAATTTATTACTGGCTGAGAATTTTTTTTTTAATAATAGAACCACTACCGTTGCTATCATTTTAACAGGTAGTAGTAACGTAATGAATAGTGTGCTTATTAAATGAATAATAAACAGAAGATCTGAAATCAAATAGAGAGAATATAAGGCTTGCACATACCCCTTAAAATAAGAAAACCATGGCACAGTCCAATAGGGGGGGAATCACGCAGATTTAAGGAGGCTTTTATTTGACAAGAGAAATAACAGTGTGATAGGACCACAATAACAATTTTATAATCTTAAGTTTAATAAACCACAGTATGCAGAATCCGAATTTCAGTATTTCCATGTTACTGATCAGACGCAGCTAAAATACCATGTTCGCTTGTGGGAGAGTGTGGCAGGATAGAAAGCACACTAGCTTGGCTGTCAGACTGTCTTGGAATCATATCAGGGCTCACGGTTCCAGCATCAACAGCTCTGTGACTACAGGTAAAGCACTGAACCTCTCTGAATTCAGCTTTCTCATCTACGGGGCAGGGTAATGGTATTACTAGCTAGATGGCTGCCACAAGTACAGGGGAGAATATCTGCTAAAGGCCTGACAAAGGCATATGAAAAGGGAACGTGTTAGCTGCTACGGTTAACTGTTTTAATTACTAGTTTCTTATTCTCTTCAGAATAATGTTTTCAGGATTCTCAGAAAAAGATTAGCAAAACGCAAAAGGAACATCCTCCTCACCTGTCTGCTATACTCCCTGGCTGCACTTCCTTCACCAAGATATCAACTTCTCCCAGATTTTGACTTCTCAGGGCCACCACACTGAATCCAAGGCCTCCGGATGAAGGCCGTTCTATATTGATATATTCAATTTGCCGGCCCTAAGGAAGGGGGATATAAAAAAAAAAAGTCAATGAAGTACATTTAACCACTGTACCCTTTCCAAAGAACTGAAATTGCTATTTTTGTAACACAACAAACAGCTTCTCCTAAGTCATCTCTAGCCAAAAAAACTAAGCATTTCAGCAATAAATTATTTCTGGAAATCCTCTCACTTGATTGTTTTCAGTAGGACATAAGAGGGCGTGTGCAGTGTTCTGCAACCTCAGGGAATCAGAGAGGTATTTTCACACTTCATTCACATTATGGGATGAAGACCAAACTGGATGAAAATTCCTGAGAAAAACAACTTTTTCCACAGTAAATTCTAAATTACTTTTTCTACTGAATTTCTCTAAATTCTCTTCATGCAAAATACGTTTTTAAATGAGGAAAGCAAAATAGATATCAAAAATATGCCAGTGTTCAGCCTAAGTTAGAAGCAGCTGCAGTTGTTAGGGTCCTGTTAATTACATTGTGATGAATTAATCCATTTTATTAGATTAATTCAAAAGATTATGGAAAGGCCGCCATTCAAATGCGTTCTACGTGTAATGAACAAGTATTTGATTGCTTTAGTTAATAATTGCATTTATGACATGAGAAGTTCATAGATGTAATCACGTAACAGAAGTATCACATAAAAATAATTATTAGTCAAATTAAGAGGACAGAGCTATAAAGTCAAAAAGGAATTAGGTATAGATTTAAATATTACACCTTAGACAGATTCTTTGTGATCTTAAAACTCAACTTTCATTTTAAAGACACTTATTAGAAGGTGAGTCGACAAACATAAAACACATCCAAAAATTCAACTATTTAATTTTTAATACGTATTAGGGATAAAACTGGATTACTCCCTCAAATGTTTCCCGAGATTTTCCAAATCATATTAACTCTAACTCCCATTAATTCTGTATTGATAAAAAGTTAAAAACAGTTCAAAGGAAATTTCATCACTTCTGGCAGACATATCAATTTTCCTATGATCAAAATCATAAGAATCTCTTTACAAGTGCAGATATGTGTCAAATTGGAGTAATTGTCTAAAAACTCCTTACCACACACATTTTCCTTATGTCATTTTAAGCCAATAAATTTCTAATCACAGGTTAGAAAACAGCATCAATCTCCCCTAACAAAATAAAAATGCAAATTTTTATTTTGCACATAGTAGCAAATTTTAAGGCAAAAGAGAGTATTCTTTTTAAAGAGTATTGTTTTCTTTTTTAACCTGTAACAGGAGAAATACAGCTAAACATTCCCATGACAAGATATAACTTTACCTGCGCCATCTGTTGAATGACTGAGTTGAAGTCTTCATTCCTTGACTTAGGAGTCCAAGGAAATAACCCAGAGACAGTCAAATTATTGGAGGGTCTTTGGGCATTCCCATGAGTAATGGCACCATCTGTAAACACTAAAAGACCTTTCCTAGAAAAATCAAAGTTGGCCAAACAATCTGAGGGTATGTGGCTGAGCTGTTGGGGAGAAAAACAAAAGAGAATCATCAACAGAAACCTATAGAAAATAAATTATTTCTATTTATTAAATATTCTATTTTGCCCATTACATGTATAATTTGCATATTAAATATCTGTACATGAAAAAATAAGACATAGATACATGAATCTGTGTGTTTGTAAGGCTACAATTTTTTTATTTAGTATTATACAGAATATATAATAGGTTAAAATGTGTTGCTTCCTGGGGCACCAGGGTGGCTCAGCTGGTTGAGCATCTGACTCTTGGTTTCGGCTTGGGTCATGATCTCAGGGCGTCTGCTTGGGATTCTCTCCCTCTCCTTTCCTTCTCCCTCTGACCTCTCCCAGCTCATGTGCTCTCTCTAAAATAAATAAATCTTTAAAAAAATATATGTTGCTTCTTCCCTTGTACCGAGACCTCAAGTTAACAGCATGTACAACAGTTCACCACACTTCAAGTACACAGATACATCCAGTCAGATAAACATGCAGACACTGAGCCCTTTTGCATTTCCATGTAAAAGGCCACAAAAGATCTGCAGGTAAGTTAAACAAAAATAACAGTAACAGTATTTACTGAATGATTGCTATGAGCAAAGTACTATACCAAACTCTTACTTGTTATCTCATTTAATCCTTATAACAGCCCTAAGAGATATTATTATTCCATTTTGTGAACATGAAAACTAAGACACACAGGTTAAGTTGCCTAAGATTAGTGGCAAATGAGTCACAGAGCCACTTAAACATTATAGGAAAAAAGAAAAAAAAAAAAAAGGAGGGGGGAGAGAATTCTGTAATTATGGTGAATAGGAAAATAGAGGTTAAGTTTTAAAATATCACTGGCTGATATAAGTGCCACCAGTGGAATAAAGGTAACATCAAGAACAAATGTTGCGGGGGGAGCCTGGGTGGCTCAGCTGGTTAAGTGTCTGCCTTCGGCTCAGGTCCTGATCCCAAGGTCCTGGGATTGAGCCCCATGTTGGACTCCCTGCTCAGCTGGGAGTCTGTTCCTCCCTCCCCTTCTGATCCTCCCCCTGCTTGTGCTCTCCCTCTCACTTACTCTCTCTCAAGTGAATAATTGAAAAGAAAAAAAAAAAAAAGAACAAATGTCAACAGGACATTAAAAAAAAAATCAACACCCATCGAAACTCTATGAAACACTCAAAAAAAATCAGATTTTACAGTTGAATGGATAAAAATATGACTATGCATATAACAACTGCAAACTACATAAATATAAAAGACTGTTACTATGATGCAGTGGTTTGTCAAGTCCACTCTTAGTCCAGTAAGAGTAACAGATTTGTAGTGACCTTTCCCAATTTCTGTTGCTACCAGTAGAATTCACTGTTGCAATACAGGACTCATCTCATGACCAGGGAACATAGAAAGCAGACCATCAATATGGGAAGTGCTAAAATTATGGTATAATTCTGATCTAGAGAAAGAAATCACAAAAACCATATGTGCAGAGTTTAATCCTTAGTTATAGAAAAATCACTTGCTAAATATTTATGGGCAGCCATTTTGATTTATCAGGAAAAACCATTGTTTTCCCAGATTTTATTAATTTTCTCTTAACAATTCTGCTACATTATCTCCAATTACATTTAAAATTCTGCCCAAATGTAACCCATAGGATAGCTACTATTCAAACCCAGCTTCTAGAATAGATGATTTAAAATCAGTTTGCCATCCCTGACCCCAAAATACAGCAACCAAGAGGACAGCTAAAATTATTAATTTACATCACTCTGAGAAGACGTGCTATGTGTCCAATAGTTGAACACATATGCATGTAGAAACTGCAAGAGTCCGGGTACTATGCTATATGTAGTACAGGAAACACAGGTAAATATTAAAACACCAGTTATAATGCTCCTGAAAACTTTCTGACCAGAATATCCATGACAGTTAATACTTATTTGGTAATTATTTCATAAATAATTGATATTTGAGAGTTGTAAATAATATGCTACAAGGGTATGATCACTTCTTGCTAGGGGAAAAAAAAGACTCCATAAAGAAAATATATTTAGGCTAAACACTATTTTATATTTTGAAGAAAATGTTGGGAAGTCTGAAAGCAATCTGACCTTTACATATTTAAATAAGTACAACTTATATTTCAAAACCAAACACAAAATTTACCATAAACATTTTAAGTAGGCTTTACACCCAACATGGGGCTTGAACTCAAGACCCCAACATAAACAGACACATGCTCTACAGAGTGAGCCAGCCAGGCAACCCCCATAAACATTTTTAAGCTATCCATGCCAATGCTCACTACAGGTCACAAGTCCCAGGACAGTCTCTTGCTGAATTAAGCGTACTTAGAGGCAGTTTGTCTGTGTTTATCTCCTTCTATGTTTCTTTGCTGGTTTGAACATACCAACATGTAAAAAAACCCTGAGTAACTTACTTGCCCTTTCAGTTGCTTGATGGACTGCTGAAGCGTGAGTATCTGATTGAAGAGAGGGCTCCTTAGTGTCTCATAAAACAGAGAGAGCTTCTCATTCTGCGATGTGTCCCCCTTCTCCTGCAGTTTCATTTTTAGGCGATCAAGAACTTGTAGGACCTGCAGTTTATCTTGTTTGAAGAAGGATAATCAGAGCACAAGTTAATTCCATCATACATTCCATTTTGATTCATTCATTAATTTACTGACAGAAGTATATATCTAGTATACCTGGACCAGGATTTTCAGGCATTTTGAAAGACTGTCTTCAATTCCTTTTAAAGAAACCTAAAGAAAAATTTTAAAATACAAAAGATGATTTTCCATTAGTATATACTTGTCTATAGTTCTGTAAAAAAATTATAGAAAACCTCAACAACATTCATCAAAAGGCTTCACTCAAATTCAAACTACAATAAGGTGCCACTATATACCCACTAGGTTGGCTCAAACTAGAAAGATAAACAATTTGTTGAGTGTTGACAAAGACATGAAGCAACTGGAACTCTCAACATCACTAGTAGGAACGCAAAATGGTACGAACGCTTTGACAAGTTGTTTGGTAGTTTCTTACAGAGTTAAAAATATGTTACTATATGACTCAGCACTTCCACTCCTAAATACTTACCAAGAAAAATGAAAATACAAACTCACAAAAGACCTATACGTGAATGTTTATAGCATCTTTATTTATAAAAGCCTTGAACTAAGAAAAACCCAAATGTCTAATAACAGATGACTATATAAGCAAATTATAGAATGTAAACAGAATGCTCAGGAATGAAAATGAAAAAAATTATGAATATACACAACACGGATCCATCTCAAAAATAGTACGTTGAGGGAAAGAAACCAGACAAAAAAAGGTTACAAACTGTATGATTCCATTCACATGAAGTTCAATCTATAGTTATAGATTAGTTTACCTGTGCAGGGTAGAATGGAGCTGACTGGGAAAGGATTTGAAGGTGCTTTTTGGGGTGATGGAAATGTTCTAAGTTTTGAATGGGGTACTTAGTGTTTACACAGATGTATACATTTGTCCGAATTCATTGACCTACATATTTTATTTTTAAAGATTTTATTTGACAGAGAGAGAGGGAACACAAGCAGGGGGAGTGGGAGAGGGAGAAGCAGGCTTCCCATGGAGCAGGGAGCCCGACGTGGGGCTCCATCCCAGGACCCTGAGATCATGACCTGAGCCAAAGGCAGACACTTAACGACTAAGCCACTCAGGTGCCCCCATTTTCTATGTTTTTAATTCCAGTGATTTATTCAAACTAGCCTAAAGTGTAATATAATCACAACTCAAAATGCTAGGAAACCCTCTGCTAGGACCAAACTGGCACTTTCACGGTGGTCATTTATAGTAATGGTACACTAGGTTGTAGTGAACCATCAAAGAAATAGGAGTACTATATAGTCAAAATTCTCTTACATCAACTCTGGATACAGTTGCTGAACAAGGTCTTTATCTTCTAATTTAAGGTCACTAAGTAGGAAAGTGTATTAAAAGCCAGAAGGGATGCCATCTGCACTGATAAAAGGTCCATGTATTCCATCCAAATGTTCACTGGATTCAGTGCGAACTACCAAACTGCTGAAGAGAGCATCACGGAACAGCTGATGAGCTCAGCATCTCAACTGTGCAACCTTTACAACTACCCATTGACAGGTAACTGAGTAACAAAAGACCGTTTCAGTGGCACTGTCCTTTTCGATAGCAGCCTAAGGCCCAAGAGGATTGACAAGAGCAGCTCTGTGGTCATTAATACATCAATCTCTCTGAAAGAAAGAATGCAAGCTAAAACTAGGAGATGCAATTTTTTACTGTCAGATGGGCAATTTTTTTAAAATTAATAATAACACGTACTCTAGATATCATGGAAAAACAGGTGGGAATAGAAATTTGCAGTCTTTTAGGAGAGCAACTTTAGCAATAGCTATCAATATACTAAATTTGCATTCTCTTTAACCCAGAAGAGCTATTAGGGGGTCTCCCTTAAAGAGATACTTGCAAAAAGGCACACAGATGTGTTGTACAAGGATATTTACCTCATTGTTAAGAACAAAACTCCAGGGGCGCCCAGGTGGCTCAGTCGTTAAGCATCTACCTTCAGCTCAGGTCATGATCCCAGGGTCCTGGGATCGAGCCCCACATCGGGCTCCCTGCTCGGCGGGAAGCCTGCTTCTCCCTCTCCCACTCCCCCTGCTTGTGTTCCCTCTCTCGCTGTGTCTCTGTCAAATAAATAAATAAAATCTTAAAAAAAAAAAACAAAAAACTCCAGGAAAAATTAATCTATCAAAAACAGTCATTATAATAATACAGTAAGTCTGAATCTATTGAAATGAGAATAGGAGGGAATCAGTTAACAGTAAGTCTGTGGCTCCCTCCTTCAGGGAAGGATTCCAGGCTTGATAACCAGAACCCCTTGGTTTTTTGATAGATAACAGCCCCCCATTTTTAAATGTCAGTAAATACCAGATTTTTTTTTAAGATTTTATTTATTCATGAGAGAGAGAGAGAAAGAGAACACAAGCAGGGGAGCAGCAGAGGAAAAGGGAGAAGCAGACTCCCCGCTGAGCTGAGAGCCCAACATGGGGCTCCATCCCAGGACCTGGAGATCATGACCTGAGCCAAAGGCAGACGCTTAACAACTGAGCCACCCAGGCGCCCCAATACCTGATCTGTCTTAATTGCTTTTTGTAAATAATCTGAAAATGTATGGATTTATGGGTCATGGCTGATGAGAAGATAGGAGATAATCACAGAGACATTTCCTGCTTGTGTAACTAATGGAGTATAAAACTCAGGATTCCCCAAACTCAAAAGGTTTCCTTTGAGAAAAATGTTTCTCTCTATATTGTTGAGAACTTGTCTGGTAACCCAAAACAAAAATGTGTCCTAAGGTTGAAATTTACTCCTGGAAGCAAATTAAAAATTGTGGGTAAAGTCTGTCAGAAATATATTTATAAATTACTTAATGTTAATCTATATGTAAATAGGTATTTTAAGTGTGTCAATAATAGGTCCTAAGAAGAAAAGTGACATTCTTCGGAATGCCTACTGGCTGGGTACTCCTCCAGCAAGGAATGTCTGTGCTTACCTCCTGCCTGTAACCACTGAATCATGAATAAGTTTTGGTGCTCGTTTGGTGAAGTTTGAGCTCGTTCACATGACCATACTTTGACAATTTAATCCTCTATGTTAACACAAGAACATTAACACAACAACTGATTGGGAAAACAGCCAGTTTCAGGATACGTGCATTATTTTCTTTTTTAAGAAAAAAATATATGTGTGTAAGTTTCTAGATTTAGAAAGATAATTTCATAGTGATAACTTCTAGAAACTAGAAATGGGGATGGGAGATAAAAAAAAATTAGACTTTGGGGCGCCTAGGTGGCTCAGTTGGTTAAGCAACTGCCTCCAGCTCGGGTCATGATCCTGGAGTCCTAGGATCGAGTCCCACATCAGGCTCCCTGCTCAGCGGGGAGTCTGCTTCTCCCTCTGGCCCTCCCACTTCTTGTGCTCTCTCTCTCTCTCATACTCTCTCTCATATAAATAAATCTTTAAAAAAAATTAAGACTTTTACTTTATAGATTTTAGTGCTGTTTGAATTTTATTTCAAAAGCATGTCTAATTTTTATCACTTAAAAACTAAAAAAGATAATGGCTGAGATGGCCTAATGAGAGAGCAAGCAGATACAAAGATAATAACAACAAGAGAGGATAATTATATTGTAAGGCATAACCGTCAATCACAGTGGTGTGTACCACGGGCTAAGTGAAATCACAGAGGGAGACAGACTAAACCTGCGTGGGGATGTTTGGAATGCTGGAAAGAGAACACATTAGAAACTTCTCTCAAAAAAGGAAAAGAATGTGGTATAAAAGAAGAGTGGTCATTTGCCTTCATTTGCCTAAAACAGCCTCAGATTACCTGGCATCGTTATGGATAGTGTTCCATTTCCCTCGCAAAAGTGTGGCCGTTATGAATGGACAGAAAAGAAGTGGCATATATATATAATAGGTATTACTCAGCCGTAAGAAAAGAATGAGACCTTGCCATTTGCGACAACATGGATGGACCTACAAGGTAATATGCTAAGTGAAATAAGTCAAAGACAAATACCGTATGATTTCACTCATATATGGAATCTAAAAACAAAACAATGAGTAACTCCCAAAAAAACCTCTTAAATACAGAGAACTGATGACTGCCAGAGGGGAGGTGGGTAGAGGGATGGGTGAAATAGAGCTGATGAAGAGGTACAAACTTCCAGTTATAAAATTCTTAAAAATTTTAAGTGTCACAGTTTGAATGACATGTGGGGCTACCCTGGGTCAGTAGTTCTCAAATTTTAGCATGCATCAGAATAGCCAGGAGGGCTTGTGCAAACACAAGTTGCCAGGGCCCACCCCCAGGGTTTCCGATTCTGCAGGTCTGAGGTGAGCCAGAGAATTTGCATTTCTAAACAAAGTTCCCATGTGATCCTGAGGCTGCTAGCGTAGAGGCCACAATTTGAAAACTACTGTACATAGGTGTACAAGCTTGTGAATTTCTGTGAGAATATTAACTAGCTTTAAATGACCTAGTATAAGGTCTCTGAAAATAGGACAAAAAAAAAATAGTGTTGTTATGGTGTTTGTGTGTGGGTTTTTCATTTTTGTTTTGTTTGTTTGTTTTTCTGCAACTGTGGACTGCAAATTGATGCTTGGCTCATAGATAAGTACCAAAATTGGGAATAAGCATTTAGAAATCATGTAATGTGGCAGAGTAATGTTGATCTACTCAATTTAGTAATAAAACCTTGACTTGCCTTTTTTTATTTTCATTTTTCTAACAATTCCTTTTTCTGATAAATTATGTTACAAAAATATCAGTCCTTGAAAGACTGGGGGTGCAGGGGAAACCTGATCTCTTACTACTGACAGTTTAAGCAGCACAGACTTAAATAGACTTTGAGAGGGTCCTTGTAAATAATGCTAAGTAGACTGGTCTTTATCCTGTAAGCAACAGGAAGTAATTAAAGGCTTTTAGGTAGGGAAGTATCGAGTCCAGATTCCTATTTAAAAAGGTAATTCTGGTAATAGGATAGATTAGTGGTCCTCAAACATTTTTAAACACACATTCCCATCAGTGAGAATATGTTGACCATTCACCTAATTTTTTATAATTATATACACATACTATTATTTACATGTCATGTTTTAAAACATACACAAAATAAAAAATGCCATGACAGTAAGATAAAAACACTAAAAAGCAAGGTTTTATTGTCAT